AGTTATGTTTGTCTACAAAATCCTAATTTTTCCCCTTTTTGTTGCCAAGCAGAAAGTTATAAAATTTTCTTTGAATGGACGCAAAATCTGATCGGTATTAACTGATTTTGCTAGAATCTGCTACACAGAAGTTGTGATCAAATGTCGCCTCGCAATTAGGAAACGTTTTAAATAATCGAAACCGCTAAATTCTGATATAATTGAAGCAAAATAAGGAGTAATATTCTTTCACGCAGTTGCTTTTGACTTGTGTCCCGGAAGGGCTACTGAAAAGATTATATTAATAAGCGTCCGTACTTTTCTTTTCAAATTTGTAATAGAATCAGGTATTTTAAATAAAAATGAACACACGTGCAAATTGTAAAAAGAAAAAAAAATAACACAGAGGAACGACAGATGAGAATTAGAGGCAGTTGCGTTTACCATTATTACTTCCATCCTACTGGGTGCGTGTACTCTGCACACTAGAGAGTTTGGGCCAAAACAAGCCGCAATAAGGAAGGAAGGAACTAGGAGTGGCCTGCGATAAGAGAGAGGAACGCTCTCTCCGCAGGGCGGGTTAACTGGACTGAGAGAGCTACTAGCGTCGGCTATCAAGTTAGTGCAAAGCGGACGAGAAGGAAATGGAAAAGAAATCAACCTGCAAAATCAACGCGAGCGACTCTAGTGAGCTTGGCTGCGAACCCCTTAGCACCGTCAGACAGGCAGCCTGGGCAATTCTGGAAAAGTGGTCAGAGCAGCATTGCACCGGTGCGATCGCACCGAGTCGCCTGCTATCAAAAACCATAGCCGCGAGAACACCACGCTCAAATCAGCTGCGTGCGTCTATCTCAAAAATTAGTCCCGCTCGACTCCTACGCCGCCTACGCTAACAATCAGCAGCGAATCGATAATCTGCACTCAAAACAAGAATCATTTTGTAATAAATATTACACCAACAAAAATATAATATATTTACAGACCGAGTTCTTTATATGAAGTCACTACCTCGTACACAATTTTATTATTTTACAATATAAGAATTTAAGAAATTTTTATATTATTCTCTTATAATTAAATTTTTTGTTATTCTGCTATTCAGAAGATTTAAGGCATTTTTTTTTTAATTCACCGGAAACTACTTTTTTGATTATTTGATCAAAAGCCAATTCAAACGCGTTTGGCCTTATGAGATATAATAAAATTTAGGCGTATTATAAAATTTTGTAGTAGAAGTTCACGATCGAGGGTTGATTCATGGTAATTTGAATTTAAAATTCGGCTTTTCCTCGGTGGGTTTGTGTGTGTTTTTTTTATTGTTGAAGAAAAACAATATCCTGCTCTACATGTTTCGGCTGCGGGCTGCAGCCATAATTCATGAGCTGCAAAAACATTTTGACAAGAATTAGTACTAAAAAACATTTTTAAAAGAAATATCTTTCTTTCAAATTAACACTTTTTTTGTGAAAAATTGTAACCTTAAAATAATGTTTTACGAATAAGTGTTAAATTAATAGAAAGATATTTTTTTTAATAAAATTAGTTTTTGTACTAATTCTTGCCAAAATGTTTTCACAGCCCGTGAATTGTGGCTGCAGCCCGCAGCCGAAACATGTAGAGCAGGATATTTTTTTTTCTTAAACAATAAAAAAACTCACAAAAACCCATCAAGGAAAAGTCAAATTTTTAAATTCAAATCACCATATTATAAAATTCTACAATATTTTTACAAATATTTAATTTTATTACTATTAAATTGCAATATTTATAGATTTTAATGCCAGATCCAATTTGTTAATTTAAAAAAAATTTAATTTGGAGATGCGCGCACTGGTTCACCCAGCGTGTTTATGAAGTGCTTTGATCAAAATTCAATCAGCGATATTGCTTTTCCATTCATACAAGGGGCGCGCACGGAACAAACCGAGCTGCTTATGACACTCGGCCAAAATAGATTTCACGAGCTAAGATGGAACTTTATTATGCGTAGACTTTGGTGTGGCCAGAATTAACGCGTCGGAACCTCTAAACAAACGCGTGTTTTAGGAGAAAACATTTCTCGGCGCTAAGAGCGATAATAAATTATTTTGCTGCAACATAATATGAAGACCAATTTGTTTGTTTTACTACCAAAATTATAAAAAAGTTAATGCAAAACCACTTTGTAAATAAATTTTTTCCCCTCAATTACGAATGATTCAAAATTCACAGCTGCTTGGTTATGAAAGTTTTGGCCCACGAGTGAAGTGCAATAAATAGCCTCCTATTTACGAATCTGGGGTAAAACATCCTTTTTGGCGCATCTCCATTTCATCGTGGATCAGCCAAGGGATGCCAAATTTGAATGCAATTCTATAATTACGTACCCTTTAATGCTTTGCATGGCAAAAGACGGAGCTCGGGACTTGAAAGTGGTTTCAATTGTGGTGCGTGCGGCTGACTGGTAATTTCTATCGTCCAGGGGCCGTTTTTGCCTGCGTATAAAGTGGACTACCTCGCTTAAGGTGTCTTCGTTGGTCCCTCTCCTACTTAAAAATTGTGTAATAATTTTACAATCCGGCGTGCAATTCAGGTCATTAAGACCATAAACTGCTCCTGTTTTGCGTTTTTCACTGAATCAGTGACCGTTCGAACGCCTGACAACGCAGTACCCAGGTAATATCCTCAGTCCGAATTAAGCGAGTTTTAAGCGAGTTCGGTTGTAAAAATTGCTTATCGGGGACTCCTTTGAAAACTGTCACAACATGGGTGGACAGCACAAACAAAAGTGAAAACCGCACGCACACAGTAGCGGGCGAAACAAAAAAACAATCGCTTCTTAACTCACCTCCACGAGTGATATGTAAAGCCCGTGCATTTGCAGGACAAACAAGGCTGGCCCACGTCCACTTCCTTAATAACGACCCCGTTCTGCAAAACATGAAGCAAAATATTACAGAGGAATTTCTAATTTGAGGGTTGATTTGCGGTAAGTTACAATTATTCTCATAATTAGAAAATTAAAAATGTCAATCCGTAAAATTGACTAGCTAAAATGTTTAATTTGATTTTTTTTTACATTTTTTAGAAGGTTTTTTTTAAATTTTCATTTAATTAGTTGCAGTTTCTTTTTTTGTGAACTAAATTTTCATTTTTATGAAAATATCAGTAATTAATGGAGAGTAAAATAGGTTAAATTAAGAATAAATTTCGAATTTTTACTTTTAAAAGCTTAAATAATGTATGGATTAAATAAACATTATTTTGGGGAATTGGAGAAAATCACATAGTAAATATAGAAATATATGAAAATCTCAATTTAAAATCGCTAGAAATTGATATAATTCATATGATTAAAAAACTAAAAATTTGAAATTGAAGTACTTGGCTAAGGCAAACTTGATTCGATGGAGGCAAAAAATTATAATATTCTGCTCTAGAAACACTTTCTTAGGACAAACACTGGCGGCTGAGAAGATCGCACTCAACGCACTGAGCCTTCCAAAATCCCAAACACGCGCTCTTGGAGACGGATGAGCAAAAATCACTTATAGAGGGGCTCAAAAAAGATAAAAATCCCACTAAAGTAGAGCCAGCAGCTTTTTAATGAAATGCGCTGGACGAGCCAGGCAAGCTCTGTGCCATCTGACACTGGGATTTTATTAAAGGGAACGGTAGAAAGAAAGAAAGCAAAGTAAATAAATAGCAGATGCTGTAAATTGACGAGCGTAGATAAAGCAATAATGAAGGGGAGAAGAAAACTCATGGAGCAGAAAATAACATCTCGGTTTTAAATTAATTAAAGCTTACTTAGGGCATTTAGGGCAACTTTGAGGACAATTATAATAAAAATATGATCTTTTCGATTAAAAATTTCAAGACACTGCTTCATTAGCATAATATTTGGTGTGTCTCAAATTTATTTTGGTATTTATGCACATTTATCTATGTAATAGCATTTTTTGAACTTTTAACGTCAGACAACATTATATTATATTTAATAAATTTGATGAAACCTGAATATTTTGCATATAACCTTTTTAATGTACTTAAAGAGAAGGGAAGGTTAAGTTCTTGCTCATACCTTGCCTGCCGCAGAATCACCTTCATGTGCTGACGTTATACATATTTAAATAAATTAATATTCATAATGTAATTATTTTTGTGTGTTTGTGAATTACAATGTACGAACATAAAACTTCTTGTTTGTTTTCAGGGAAATAAAGAAAATCCGATTAAAATTTAGATTGCCCTAATTCACAACATTGACAGTCGCAACGCAGCCCTCGGATTCGGACACGATTAGCCCAGCCAGCGTTAAATGACTGTTAATCCACATGTGGCGGTCAAACAGTTGGTCCGACACTCTCTTTTTGAGAGTCGAAAGGAAAATACGTAAATAGATCTTGTCAGAAAAAGATACCAACCATATCGGTTTGCGTGGAAAGGTCTCTCATTCGCTTGAGTCGGTGCGCCTCCCGTCGGCCACACCTCGTGTCACAGCCGGCCGAAAAAGTGTGCCGAACCTGCACATTCGTGCGTCTCGATCAGTCGCGGTTTGCGAAATTACACAATGCCTGTTGTCCCGTGTGAATTGTGTGTGTATGTGTATGTATGTCTCGTTCGGACAGTTGAACAGCAAATTTACATGGGCAGGCACGGACTTGCCTACGAGCAGGTCGCCGTCAGCGCTGACACCTGTCGACTGCTGGCTCAACTATATTAGATATTATAAAAATAAATTGTACCTTTAATGAAACCACTCGCGCACCATGCAAGAAGTGGTAATAAAGTAAAGCGTCGGCATCGGCACCACACTCACCATCATCACCACACTCACGGATCATATCGATGACGAGGATCACGTCTGTCTTCCGGCAGCAAGTCTTTCATGCGTTAAAATAAAACGTAGCCTCGAGCACCACCTAGCGGCGTCAAATCCAACTCGCTCGGTCATTCGTACGCAATTCATTCAAATGTTTGCTATCGTGACGTCTGGTGACGTCATAGTGACGTGGCGAAATCTGATTGGTCGCAGTGATCCGACTGGATCGGACTGTTTTGTTTACTTTTTGAAGACTCGTCTCCACTTTTTTAACGCACATTTTGGTCATTTTCACATTCATTCTCAGGATTTTTAACGAAATTCTTGAACTTTTTACATTTTAAGTTACACGTTAGAACGTCCGTTGTCTGCACCGGTGTTTTTAAAGGTTAATTTCGCAGCAAGACGAGCTGTCGTTTTCCACCATCTCTGAATCACATTTTCTGCCAAAAGGGTTTTGGTGTCGATTTCAAGACTTATAAGGAGTTTCAAGGTAAGTGACCTTAATTTAATATTTTTTTTTATTAAAAAATGGAACATTTTTCGATTCAGTTTATTTTCAACACATTCGTCGTTTGAAATAAATTCGTTTGAAAAACAAATTTAAAGCTACATAATTGTAAGATTGACGTATTAATAATCATGCAACACAACATATAAATGCCAGCCTCGATTTGATTTTTAAAACCGAATTATTATTATTATTATTACAGTTCAAAAGATGAAGAAATTATTGAATATAAACTATAATATTATGCGCTGAAGATGACTGCGATGATTGTTGTCCTCGAGAGCTCAATTTTGGTCAGAGATGTTTGCTTTTGTGTCTTTCAGGCCCGTGTGTTTTATCCGAATTCCTACCGCAGCATGTTTTTACCTAGTGTTGATTTTGCTTGGTTGGCGACCGATTTATTGATTGTCGCTTGAAATTTTTGTACAAGTTATAGCTGCTGATGGGAAACACGGGCTGAGGTAATTCTCATGGGATCTGAGAAAGAGGCATTGCAGAGCCAACAGAGCGCTTCCGGCCCATATTGCAAATCTTGAAATGGCACAATGACATGTCTGAAAATTAAGCAGTACGAATTAAATCTTGTTCATTTCTGACATGTTGACAGAAAGACAACAGAGCTCTGAATTGATGGAAAGGGTTAAAAAATAATATTAAGCTTGGACAATTCACAAAAGTAGACAAACATAACACACAAAATAGCAAAGGATGCAGGCAAAGAAAACAGCCGTATATGAAATGGGGATTATTGAAAAAAAAAATATATATTATATAAAAGTTTTAATCTAAACAAAGATAAGGGTAAAGGAGGATAAGCTCTGCTTTACAAAATTAGACAGAAATTCAGGAGAATATAGAATCGAATTCAAAAATTTTGTGTTTTTCTTAATTAATGTTAATAACTCGTCTTGCTACTCTAATATTGTATTAGGAATAATAAGGAAGTGCCAAAAAATTATGCATTTTATCATGAAAAAAAATCTTAATTCATAAAAGGTTGCATATTTTAAAATAAAATTGCAAATATCTTTTTCCATTTTTTTTTGCAACAAGGTTTGCCCGGTTTTGAAGACCAGAATAAAGAGATTTAATTAATTTCCAGTAAAAAAAATTGAAATAATTTTCTTATATATTAATTTTCATTATAACAAAGCAAACCAGTTTTAGAAAATTAATTATACACATTTGGTTTGCCAGATAATTTAGTGCTTGAACAGAATTTAATAAATTAATTATTATTTAAAATTTATTGCGTGTACAAGGTGATATTGCAGCTGAAAATAAGAACACAGCACTACTCACTTGTTTATTTATTCTTCTCATTGTCAGTTGATATAGAAATCTACCACAAAAATTGTCTGATTTTGTGGAATAACTCTTTTTATTGATGTGTAAATTTTTTAACCCCTTTAAATTGATTAATTTTTAATCTTAATATTTTGAAACCCTTCAAATATGGATTAATTATTTTTTAATTAATTTACTATAAAATTGCAAAGAAAGTTTTACAAATCAATCTGAGTGAGCCACCCCCGTTTGAAGTAAATCTGAGTGCTAAGGAGAGAAGGCGAAAGCAAGAGGTTTTAGCAAGAAAAACAGAGTTTCAATTGAATCTGCTGAATGTTTTCTGTCTCTTTGACATGCACTTACAGCCACCTCTTTTGTCGTCCTCGGGCTGCAGGTCCATGATGGCGTTTAACTTGTCCTCGTCGGTCCACTGGTCCACTTCGTAAGGTTGGAGCTGTTCCTCCAGCTGCCCTTGCACTTGCTCGTAAAGGGGGTCTTGGTATGTGTGTGGCCGCTCCAACGGCCGCTCTTTCTGCCGCTGCTTATAATTGTCAAGCATTTTCGCTAACTGCTGCAAACACAAGTTGGCCTGTTATCAGTGCGGCTATTCTACTCTAATTCTAATTGCAATGATGCAGATGATTTTTCGCTTCCTCGATAATTTCTGCTTTTAGTTCAAACCTGACTAATAATGCAATACTTTATTAAGTCTTGAACTACAACCAAAATAGGTTGAACCTGCTTAAAATTTAAAAAAAGGAATTTTAATTTATGGGAAAAAATTAGATTTTCATAGCACTTTAAAAAAGTGACACTGCGTTAGCTTGTACTTCAAATTTAACACTAATTTTTTTTCTTAATAATTGCCGGTTCTTAAATTTTAAACAATTGGAGGAAAGAGAGATGTGCGGTCAGTCATTGTTATCAAAGTGACATTTTAAGCAGTTTCTGGAGCTGAAATTGCCATTCAGACAAATTTAAAAAATTCACAAGACATTATATTAATTTGATTCATATTTTGGTAAATATAAATATTTACTCCATTTATCAAAATGCATCTTTTTGTGAGTACGCAAACTGGAGCTTTCGAGTTTCAAGTAAGTAATTAAAAAAAAAATGACCAAAGATAATATAATTGCTTGATTGCAATACATTTATCAAGAATAAAGAAGGAAAGAAAGTAAATAAATATTTACCAATTGTTCCTAAATTTAAAAACCTAACTTATTGATAAAGAAAAACTTAAAAGTAAAAAGTAATAGGAGGAATTCAACTTTTAAACTGTGGAAATATTAAGGGCATTTCCATAATGCATCTTTATGACACTAAAAAAAAAATGTGTCGCTCTTACCACTGTTTCAAACTCTTGCTCAATCGCGTCCAGATCGTCTTTGAGCTGCATTTTCTCGTGCAACCGTTTCAGCACCTCAGTTGCAATGATGCTGTTTTCGATAACTGGCCCATGAGGCAAACATTGTCCACTGTGAATCACGGCGATGATAAGGAGGAGCAAATATGTCCCTCCGCGGATCAGTGGCATTCCTGACACTGCGATCGGTAATTCTGTGGGAAAAATAACCAACTTTTTAATATTCAACTTTTATTCTGCGTTTGTCATAAACTTTTAATTTATATAATGCCACTTCCGGATTAACCATATATTTTTCCAACTTCCCAAGGGATCGGTCGCCATTCCACATGGAAGTGAAGTGGTGTGATGGGAAAATTAATGCGACGAGTTTTATTGGATGGCGAACAATTTTCTTTGATTTTTTTATCCCCTAATACCAGCAGTTTCCGCATAATTTTAATAAACCTATCATTGTTCTCATTTTTTTTCATATATAGTAAAAGAAATGCAGTTTATCTAAGAATTAGTATCCTAATCAAAATTTCATTTAACTGATTTATAAAATTTCTAGAAATTAATTATCAAAAAATTATTTACTCTAAATCGTGAATTATTAAATACTCACTTTATGACTTGAGCATAAACGCTGGAAAAAATGAGCAGAAAATGACCAGAGTGAAACCACACTAAAAAAATTATTTTTCACTTCACAACTCAGTTTGAAAAGGGAGGAATGTTCTTTTTGCTGCGTTTTCCAGTGTTTTTTTTCACAGGCTATCATTTGCTTAAACAAAGATCGGTAGGTGATCCTTTCACTCGGGGCGTGCAGGTTGCTTGGTAAAATCAAATCTTTTTTGCGTGAACCAAATGTTCCAAGATATTTTGATGCTGCGTGCGTGTAACTTTTGCTGCTTGAATGTCACTGAGGGTGTAAACACAGTGCATGGGGAGGTGCGCGCGTGGGACATTTTTATCTTTTTGCAACACATCATAAAAAGTGAGAATTCGCGTAAATGCCACGTTACCATAAAGCATAAACTATAGACTGAAAATATTCGGGACTGATTGTGAGTAAAATTCTAGACAGAAACAAAGTTAATGAGAACCTGGAGTAGAAAGCGTCGCTTGGATCATATAAAAATTTGAAATTATGAATTTAAAATAGCTTTGCTGATCGTAGGAAATTTTTGTTCCGTTTCAGCTTCAACACCCTGGAAAATAACTTAAAAATCATTAAAATCCAAGATTAAAAATTTATAATTAACCATTTAAATATTAATTTTTTTAATAAGTGTTGAAGTGGGAAAAGAAATAGGTAAATATTCCACCATCTCTTAATAATATATTATGGAAACTGTACTAGAAAAATTGTTCTCCTAATTGAGAAATTTAATATTTAATAAATAAAAATAATTAAGTTTTAAAGAAAAAAAGACCAGGAAAATTAGCGCGCACTTTCCCATTAAATAATAATTACTAAGTCTGATGAAAAATCCCAAAAATCATATTATAAAAAAAGTGTCCCTTAAAAGCTTGCAAATCGAATATTGAAAACAATAAAATCAGGCATCAATATTTGTTTGAAACGACTGACCTGTAATTGTGATGTGCCGGCGGAGATGTGCAAGGGTGCAGTGAACAAGCCGCTTTTAGCCCTTGCCTTTTATACAGGGGTGAGGGAGGCTGGTGGAAGAGGCCGCCATCTCTACACCCCCGCTTTTAGAAAAAAATGATCGAGGCAATCGCCGCGCGATACAAAATACACAAACTGATTTTATAAAAAAATAAAACTTGAGTGTGATTTTGAATCATATTTAAATTGAAGCATCAAACGCAATCCAACCTTAAATTTCTTGCAAAAGTCATGGAAAAATCGTCCTGAGAGTATTTGAATTTTGAGATATCGAGGGAGTGCATTTTTTGTTATCCTTTTATTTCTACTGCATCATTTTGAAAATCTAGCTTTCATTTTAAGTGCAGTCCCTTCCTTTGGGAGGTTTTTTATTTTTTCCTGTAGCAAAAAATGTGCACTTGTTGCATCCCGTTTGCGTTTTCATTAAAAACTACTCCAATCAAACGCTTACCTTCACGTTGCCGCTTTTTCTTTTGTTGTTAGCAAATCACGTGGTAGGAATCCCTCTTTGCTCTCACACCAGCAACAGACAGCGAGGCACCAGCGGCCGGCCAGCCAGCCAACTTCATCTTCTCCATGACCTCTGACCTGGCAGCTGCGCCATCTCATTGCCACACACACGTAGGTTGCGGCGCTACTTTAGGGCTCAATTGCCTAGCGGTCCGCGCGTACCATTTTCCAGCCCAGATGCGTGTCAAAGGGCAAATCGCTTCTTCTCTTGCTTGCAAAAATTATTTGACGGCGGTCTCTGTCATCTCTAATTAAAGTGAATCCGATTGAGTTGAAAATATTGCCTGATCCACAACTTGGTTCTGGGAACACGTCATGCAATAAAACATTCGCACATATTGTCAATGAAAAATTAAATTTAAAACGCAGGGTTTCAATTTGATTTATTTCACTCTTCATACCGATTGGGAATTTTAATTGAAACTGTTGTTGAAGTTGAAACATCTCTCCAAATGCATACTATTTCAACCCCACTTCAAACCTGCTCAAGTTTGTTGAAAGTATATTGAAATTTATTTAAATAATCAACCATTTATGTAATTTTTACACTTGGTTTAATTCAGAATACAATTAAAGTTTAATTTATTCAGCAAAAACCAAAATTTCTTTTGAACTATCTTTTTAATCAACAGAAGTTAAAATAGAAACGTATATTATTATTATTATTTATTCTACTCAAGTCATACAAAAAAAATTGAAATTGGAAAAATGAGCAGAAAGGGTATCACAAGTAGCAGAGGTCTGCTAAAACGCCCAACATCAAAAGAGACACGGCCGCGGCGGTGAACCCACACTATATTGAAAAAAAAGAACAATCACAACATAAATTGATAATAGACATTTAGAGCAGCATGAATTCCTTTGCATACTTCCATTTTATTTTATTATTCCACGAGCATGTCGTGAAAAAAAATTACGAAATATTTATTTTACAGCTTGATAAATAAATTTGTATTAATTTTTGGGCTGATTATATTTTATGGTTTATAAAGACATTATAGATAAAGATCAGAACAAACGCAACTGACTTTTCAAAAGCTGACTTTCCATCGCGATAAAGAAGGTTGATTTTCAATCGAAAGTCGTCCCATAGTTTGCCCTTTGCGTCTGGCGTGCGCATATCGAGAGGAGAGCCGATTTTTGTATGTATTTGATTTAGTATTATTTCAGCCGGATCCGCGAGTTTATGGGTAAAGCAAGCGTAGGGGTAGCTTTCCACTTGATTTAGTAGCCCTAGATCGGATATGAAGCTGTCATCGACACCTAAGTCCCGACACGGAAACTTAATTTTCAGCCTTGTTCAAATATGGCGTCGCGATAAGTTGTAAACTGACAATAGCGTTTTTATTTTATCACTTCGAACCAACACAATAATCTGAAAACCAAGCTGCGGCTGATTAACTTTCGCGCGAGTAATTTGCGCTGGCGATATGATAATTGCAGTCGTAAAAATTGCGAGTTTGCAAAGCTGCGGCTTTTGTTTTGCATTTGGCATCGGATCCATTTTTCACATGCGAGGGATAAACAAGCGTGGGCCGATTTGAAATAAATCTACTGACCGCAGTTGCGTCACGTTCCCCTTTTCAACTCTCGCCAATAAACACAAAACCTCTTTTGTTTTCCGTGTTTTCAGCTCGCGGCGCAACTTGTTTCTCTCTAGACATCTTCTTGCGGCGATTGATGAGAGCACCCGCTTTTATTATTCTGATTGCTTCTCTTGTCTGTCGGTTGCTCTCTTTCAACCTTAAGCTTGATTAGAAGCATTAATGCTATAGAGTATAAGCGTTACTTAATTTTCAGTTTTGACCCAAATGCAATCTGAACCATTGCATATGAGCGTTTGGAATGTAAAATGTACTTAGAGCTTAATTCATTTGATTAATAAAACTACAAAATTTGACTAAAAAATTTCGCCCATTTTATGATAAGTTTATAATTTTAAATATTTAAAAATATTTCAGTTGTTTGAAAACAATTTTTAATTGGAATAAAATCAAATATATACCGCCACTTTCATGATTTTAAATCATAATTTAATTTTTATAATTTTATAAAAAGGGAGTTATTATTTCTTCATTTCCACTGCTATTATATCTTAAGAACCTTAAGGCCTTATTTTTTTTCATTTTAGAACAATTACATGCAAACATTTTTTATGTAATATCAGCTAAATTAATTTATTTTCTCACAAGCCAATGAAAATTTATATGAAACTATCAATGGAAATTGTGTTGTCAGAATGGAGAGGCCGTTTGCAGTGGACAGAGCCAAGACGGGCCGGTCAGGATGCAAGGTTTGCAAACAGAAGATCGAGTCGGGCACGCTGCGAATCGCTCGGATTCAGTCGAATCCTTTTGGTGGCGACGGAAGCACAATGAAGGCCTGGCACCACGTTCCTTGTCTCTTCACCGCGTTGTCCAAAGCGCGTGCAACGACCAGGCGAATTGAGAATCCCGAAGAGGACATTGAAGGCTGGGATCAGATAAGCCAGGAGGACAAGGACGAGATTCAAGCTCAGCTGGAAGACATGCCAGCGCCAAAAACTCCTAAGACTAAAGCTCCTGCAGCAAAAGCAAAGGAAAAAGAGAGTCCGTCAAAAAATTTATCTCAAGTGGCAAAAGCAGGCAGTAGTCAAGAGCAACAGCAGACAAGTGGCAAGAAATTTCTCAAATTATTCAAACTTTTTTAAGTAAAATTCTTGGAAAAAAAAAGAAATTATACATTTTTTTTTCAAAATATAAAAAAAAAATCATATAATACATCAAACTCCCATGCCTAAAAAATATTACACACAGAAGGTTAATTTTCAAATGCTATGCTGAATTTATTTTTCCTACTTTCCAATAATTATTTTTGCTCAAGCCAAAATAGATGAGTAATACCTTCCCATACAATTCTCACAGTTATATTTTCTTTCAACCGTCTACGTCACAACATTTTAAGCCTCCTTGATTGAAAAGGTGTAATGAGCGGCCGATCGACCCTCTCACATTAATTAGGAGACGAGGTCTTTTGCATATTGGGAGCTCATTACGTCTCATTAGAAGCTGTGATTAAAAGTAAAGGGGCTGCGCAATTAAATAGGGATTTGTTTGTTAAAGGAAAGGACGACTCGTTCCGAGAGTTTCGTCGCATTTGTTCGCTTGTCGCTGAAGTTCCTGCCTACACAGACAAGAGCAACATTGTTCACAACTTCCTGACTAAAGGCAGCTCTGGAGGTGAGAAATTTAACTTCGAGCTCTGCAAGCCAAGGCACAAGAGCTAGCTAGAAATTTAATTGCCTTATCATTTAATTTTTAAAAATATTTTCACTGAAACAAAAAACTTTATAATATTATTTACGACTATTTATTTAATTTTTATTTTTAAATTCAAAATTTTCTTTGTAGATGATTTACAGCTTGATTGATAAGTAGGAAAAATATCATTGTAAAATTAATTAATTTAAATTTGCAGATGGATTTACTGGAGACAAACTTCTTTGGGTTCGTTTGCTGCTGCCAATGGTGGAAAAAAGAATCTACAATTTGCAAAGCAAGCAGCTGATAAAACTTTTTAGCCAAGTTAGTTACTTATTAATATTTGATAAATTCTTTTTCCCGCTTTTTCCACTTAGGAAATTTAAATTTGATTGTGCTATTAAATATTTTTTTCTTCTAAAACTTCTTAACATGGTCAAATGATTGCAGTGAATAATTTTTTATGTTATAGATTTTTGGAGCTAATCATGATGCAATGCTGGAAGATCTAGAGCAAGGAGATGTGGCGAACACAATAAAAACTTTTTATGAAGCAAGCAGCAAATGCCCACCAGTTGGAAAAAGTACCCTCTCCCTTCAAGAGGTAACGCGATAATCTTACAACCAAACAAAATTTTAATTAAAATGTGATTTATAGGTTGATGGATTATTGGATGAGCTCTCAAATATTAGAACAGAAGACAAACAAATCTTGATTTTACAGAAGATTGTTAGAAGGTATACTTTTTGTGGAGCGTAATGCTCCAATGAAAAATTTTATTAATTTTTTCTGTTAATAACCAGATGCACAAGCAACGATTTGCTAATGATTGTCCGCCTTATAGTGCACGATTTACGCATAAACGCTGGGCCTAAGCACATGTAAGCTGTTCTCTTTTCTCTCAGGATACGAATTAATTGTATATTTGATTCTAATTCAAAGCTTGGACGGTGTTCACAAAGATGCTTATGAGGCATTCCAGAATTCTAGAGATCTTCGAACTGTAATAAACCAAAGTACAGCAGCAAGCGCACCACTGAAAATAGGCTTCAGCCTCATGACGCCTTGCTTACCAATGCTGGTATTTCAACTTCTGGTTATATTTCCCTAGAACTTTAATAACTCATTTGTTTATAGGCTGAAGTTTGCAAAAGTGTTGAGCAAGCAATGACTCGTTGTCCAAACGGCATGCTCGCAGAGGTCAAATACGACGGAGAAAGAGTGCAGGTGCACAAATCTGGAGACTCTTTCCGATACTTCTCTCGTAGTCTTAAACCAGTTCAAGAACACAAGGTAAACATATGCGAAATAAATGAACACTTACGTTAATTATTTTGAATTGTAGATAAAGCATTTTGCTAAGCATATTCCTAAGGCATTTCCACATGGCCACAACTTGGTCCTGGACAGCGAAGTCCTGCTGATGGACACAACCACTGGAAAACCTCTACCTTTCGGAACATTGGGAGTTCATAAAGTGAGACTAACAGAATTATTGAAGCATAACTTTATCTGAATTGTCTACTGTTTAGAAAGCAGAATTTGAGGATGCATCTGTGTGCTTGTTTGTGTTCGACTGTCTTTTTTACAACGGGAAATCCCTGTTGAATAAGTGAGTACTTAAAATTGTGCTTGTTAAGCAATATTTTAACTTGATTCTCTAATTCTTAGGTCAATTCAAGAGAGGCGTGAGATCTTGACGGAAGTCATGACTGAAGTTCCTCATCATGTTGTGTTTTCGGAAACGAAACTTATTCATGTGAATAAATTTTTTTGTTCTTCTTGGTTTAAAATGTTTTATCTTCTTTTTGTACAGCAACCTTTGGAGCTGGAAAAGATGATAGCTCGAGTTCTCAGTGAAGGTCTTGAGGGCCTTGTTCTAAAAGACTTGCAAGTAAATCTCAAACACGATCATTTTTAATTTTGCTTAACAAATTTTGATATTTTTCATAGAGCAAGTACGAACCTGGCAAGCGACACTGGTTGAAAATAAAAAAGGACTACCTAGCTGGTGGGAAAATGGCAGACACTGCTGACCTGGTGCCTCTTGGCTCGTGGTTCGGCACTGGTAGCAAGGGAGGGATGCAAAGCATATTTTTGATGTGCTCTTTCGATCCAGTCAAGAAGGTGTGGGTCACAGTAACTAAGGTGCATGGTGGGTTTGACAACAAGGAGCTGGAGAAATTGCAGGTATGCAGATTATAAATTTTATGAAGGCCAATCTGCGAGCAATATTTATTTCAGACATCACTTGAAATGAGGAAAATTAGCAAGCAATTTGAAAAAATTCCATCCTGGTTACACTGCCATCGACATCATGCTCCGGATTTTATTGCAGTTGATCCTGAGGTGAAATTGCAAAATTCTCAATAAAAAATTTTTGTCATGGGTTGTTATTTCAGAAAATGCCAGTTTGGGAAATTACCGGAGCAGAGTTCACCTCACACGATGCTCACACAGCAGGCATATCAGTGCGCTTCCCACGCGTGACTAGAGTTCGTGATGATAAAACCTTTAAAGAGGCTACCAACTTGCAAGAACTTATGGTAAAATGTGTGTAGATTGTTTTTAAAAATTAATTAAGCGCGATATTATTTTGCATAGACCCTGTACCAAAACTCAAGAAATGGAACTGACGTGAGCTCGCTCTTTGGGGACAAAAATGGCGAGAGTTCAAAGAAAACAGATTTGGAAAAGGTGAATACAATACCTGGCATGCTTTAGAAAAGAATGAAATTATTTATGAGGTAATTTTCAGCTATCTCCAGTTGCAAAAAGAAGGAAAATTGAGCAGGTAAGGCAAGATTTTAAAATTAAATTATGCATCTTTTTACAATTCAAATAATATTATTTGCATAACCTTCAGATTAGAATTTCTTGTTTTAGTTTTTTGGGTCCCCAGTCAAAAAGGAGCCAGAAACTGTAAAGGCTGGGAAAAAAGCAGAGAGAGATGCAACTAGCAAAGAATCACACATTCCACATTCACCAAAACGAATAATTTCGAACCCCTGCAAAGATCCAAATTTAATTTGTGTGAGTAATTATTCTTGATGAAATATAAAAAAATACTATATCGTCTGCTTTACTTCAACAGCCTCTGCCTGATGTTTTTACTGGAGTCCGCTTGGTTTTCCCTTCATGGGTTCAGCATCGAGAATTGGCCCGGTACTTCATTGCGTATCCTTTTTTTAAATTTTGAAAAATATGTGAATCCAGTGATAAGGTAAGACTCAAACCAGAGGTGCGTGTAGATGAAACGTTTTTAGAAATTCGGTTAAAAAAATTAGAATTCTTCAAAATATAAAGTTTGATATTGCATGGTAATCAAACGCCAATGAATAAATTTTGCGCCAATTCGGCTCTTTTAATGTGTGCTTATCACGCATCAAGTCTTAGATTTTGGATAATCCACTATCGATCAAATTTATTTGCCTAATTTAGTGATAGAACCCGGAATTGTGTGGTTTAATGTCTCGGTTGACACTCTGACGCGTGACATGTGTATCTCGACTGTGTATTTGCCAGTGTGATCCGCGTGTGCTTAATTAAGTGGCATCCGATCGATAGAAAGGTTCTAAAAGAGCGCGCTGGCGCATCACACAGCGCTCTTCTCAATAGTCAATTGATGTCATCAAAGTGCAACACCTGGGGACCGTGGAATATTATGAACCATCATAGTAAAGAGGAAAATCAGGGCTTTGGAATCTACCGCACCGCGTTTAATTAGAGAAAATTGAATTTTTTGAAGTAAAACGAAATTGGTCTTAATTATAGGATTTGGTAAAATTATAGTTTAGCATTATTGAAAATCTGATTGTGGAAGGCATCGCGTCATTGATTTGTAAAAAAAAAAAAATACTCTTATTTAGTTGTGGAGAGTGAATTTTTTTATCTGTAACACAAATATTTAAGACCACATTTTGGCCAAAAAGCTTTTTTTTTATAGTTTTTATCTTGGACCAAAATCATAATCTTGTGAAACTTGTGACTCATTCTTGGTTTTTGTAGTGATTTATAATTTTTTGAAGTTTTATGTAGTAATGTAGTTCCTGTTAAGTTATTCAAAAACCTTGTCAGAGAAATGCGTTTTAAGTAAAAAAATCTGGATGAGAAAGCAAAATATGAAATATGATATCGATGTCCCCAAGTAATTAATTTAGAGAAAAATAGACGAACCTTGCGAGCAAAAAACTCATATGTTTTCGATATGCCAAGAACCAATTAATTCTTGACTTTCTCCCCGCATTGCAGCTTTTCACTAAAAGGGGAATTATTAGGCCTGATGAGACTTTCATCCTACTCGTGTGGATGGTGCGGCTTAGGGCATTCTTTTTTACTTTCCAACAACTTTTCTACCCTCTGACAGTTTTGCCCAACATCACTTTGGTAGACTTAGGGCGTCACTTGCCAACCACAAACACACATTAGAACACATATAAAAAAACATACAGAAAATTCAGTCATCCATGAAATTTTTTTGCGACTTTTCTTGAAATTTATTATCCTTGACGTTAAATAAGGTTTGGAGGTGAAATTTTAACGCCATTGCAAGCAAGCAAAGCAACCCACTGCATTTATGACTCGGCACATCCACCAGTAAGCGCAACCTTTCTTTGTTCCTTTCGCCCATCAAATAATTAATAATGCTTTATTTAAATGTTGCAGCTCACAAAAGGCAGTGTGATTCCTGTTAGATCACAGTGGATCATTAATTCCATTAGGACGAAAAAGTTGCAACCAGTTTCATAATTGGTCAAGTGAAGATTCTTCGACGTGATCAGAACATTGAAGATTGAAATGATGACCAGCTTTGTTCAGTAAAAATGGCTTTCATATTATAATTTTTGTAATATGAATGTTTGTTGTGCAAGTTACTTGGCTATTAAAGTTCCTCTTTTTAATATTAATCTAAAACTGATTTTTCATCTTCAATTTTATTCGATCCTTGTTATTTTTGCTGGCTGGCGTCTACAAAAAGTGGCCGAAGCTCTCAAATTTAATTTTATATTCTTTTTTTGTGGGCGTAAATGTAATTAAGATTTATGAAAATAAAAAACTTCTCAAAAGGATCTGCAAATATCAACATAAAATACCTATTTTTTTTTTTTTATTCAATGAGGACTTTTTTTTAATTGAATCAATTAATGACATTGATCCACCAAAAATAGAAAAAGAAAAGTCAAGAAGGTTCTGCAAAGTCACAAAGAGCGTGTAGCGTGTTCCATCTCGTCTGTGCCCCTGGGGCAAATCGATCCCATGGTAAGCACCCTATATCATTCTGAGAGCCTTTCACGCTGGCCCAGAGGGTCCTTGTGTTAATTACCTTACAAGAATGACGCTTTATCTTTTGCATAAAACGGAACCTTGTGCGAGTTTTCTGGTTGGCCTTATACCACGATCTATCCAGTTTTGTACACGTTTTGTTGAAAAGAAGATCAGTTAATTACTCCAATAGAGTTTAAGATCTTTGAGCCTGCCAGCCTTTTCTCAGATAGACCTTTAGTCTTTAAGACCAGCAAATATTCACACGTATAATTTAAAAATTCTTTTTATTAAATTTTTAAAAATTAGAAAATATTTATATCTAAAATTTTTTGCATAATTAATTCATATATACGCAAGTAGCTCCATAGTAATGAATTTATTGTTAATTTCTTACTTTTCAAAAATTTGGATTTGAGGAAAACCTCATAGTGTGCTATCCTTCGTAGATAAGCAGAATAAAATGTTATGGATTTGAAGTTTGAAGTACCTTTTAAAATGAAAGCATAAAAGAAATTTCTATTTTTGTAGGAACCCAAATATTTACAGCTTGTGTCCTTTAAACAAAATATTCATAAATGTTCGCGAGGGAGTTGGCACACCATTAGCTGGCGGGGGTTGGCAAGCGTTTATCCAACCCTCGGCTTAATCTCAAGGGAAAACCATATATCCTCGAAAACTGTGCAACAGAGTACATCACCAGGCAAAATTCAAAATTGTTGGCCTGCGACCAAAATTCGTTCAGTTATTTTCAAGCTGTTTAGCAAATGAGTTAGTGTTCATTGAACTTTAATTTACTATTTATGAGTTAAAAGTTGGTCGGGAACAAAATAACTGCGTGGCCATGACGCGCTCTTCCGCCGTGTTGCTCGCCACGCACGTCAGGCCGAGGAATGACACGCCACCCGCATTGAAGTGCTGTACTGCGGCACAGTTTCCACCTCCGTGCAAGGCGCACTTGTCTTGTGGCGAGATTTCAGAGTTGCACCTTGATAATGGGGCTCTCTCCTCTGGCAGCAAGAGTGTGCCGTGCTTTAGCAAGTTGGCAAATTCTGAATGCGTCCGGAGCACACAATACTGTGCCAGACGTGTTTTGGGTGTTAAAAGAAAAGTCTTTTCTAGCATCTTTATTCTGGTATTTTATTAAAACTTCCTAGTGATGACAGGGGCTGATATATTATTTCGATACTCATAACGTTTCCGGGGCAGCAATAATTTACTGCCAGCTTTTCGTTCAAATTATTATGTTATGAATTATTTCAATGTTTCATTCTTGGTAATTTTTGAGAAAACTCTTTCCCACAAAGATAAATTTGAGGCCCGCCTACCTCAATATTTTATCGAAGAGATTTATAAAGAAATTAAATTTTCTGTAAGAGACAATGTATTTTTTTTTAATTTGCATATTTCACGATGTTTCCAATAATGACTTTGCACAAAGAATAAATTTACTTAGATATACAAAATTACAAAGAATGAATCATTACATTCCACGTGGGCAACCGTGAGGATTGAAGATCGATGGAAACAACTACGATTTTAAAATAATGCAAATTCGCGATTAATTGGCATTATATGTATTTTTTATTATTATTGGTAGGGGTGGAGTTATCCAAAGCAAGAAACGGCGTTGAAGGCGCATTGCTTCCAGTAGGAGCGCTTACGCTGCAGGTCAGTAACGTCGAGCTGGTTGCGAAGCCTGCTGACTATTTGCTTGGCAAACAGGTAGTTCATCAAAGCTGTTTCAACGCTACCATCGTCGTCGCCGAGCTGAAACAAAATTTTCAATTTTTTAAAAAAAAAAACCTTTCTATCGCTTCAGGAAAATAAAAAATTTCCGAATAGAAACCGATGCAATAAATGGCTGACATTCTCAGAAATATTTATTCTCAGGGGAGAAGATACATTTTGTGTTTGAGTGAGTCTCACTTTCAGTTGTTGACTTGTCTTGCGAAAGATTTCTTGCTGCAAATAATGTTGTATATTTGGGTGATCTTTACATTCGTGGCTCGCAATGCGTAATTAAACTAATTTTCAAGTTTGTCGCAGAGGTGGATGGAAGAAGATGCTGGCAGATTAATGCAAAGAAAAGCAATTTCACGACCCACTGCTCGGATATTACGGATTTTTGAAAGGTCGCCTCAGCACCGCTCTTCAGCAGCCCATTATAAAATTCATTTCCGCACTCCGGTCGAGCAATCTTTTGTCTGATTGGTAGCGTTCAGATATTTTTTCGCCCAATAAAAATCTGAAGAACAATTTTTAATGCTTATTCTTTGTGAAAAGGTGAAGAACATTGAACAATCAACTATACATAATCAGTTGAATGGAGACAGATTTTTAATTGAAATAAAATTTGAGATCAATTAATTATTGTTTGTAATTATTTTTCAGATTTCTCAGGTAATTAATTGAAACGTTTTCTGATCAAGACGTTATTTTCACTATTGAGAATATTTTAAAAATAATTGTAATATTTCTCAAATAAAAAAGTCTTGTTAAAATGAAACGCTGAAAATTAATTAAAAATTGAAATTCATTAGAATTTTCTTTCGCTTTCAGTTACTACAGGGGGCTGTTTCATGTTTTTGTATCATCGGCGTAGTTTATTAGCACACAGAACAGTGGCAACGACCAAACTCTTATCGTTAACTACCCCATCAATATGAAAGGAGACACCATTTCACAGCAGGAAGGATTATTTATCACTCAATTCTGACACCGACTGGGCTAGAGCAATTTTTTTTGTTCGGAAAATTCACGTTTAATATTCTCTTTAAGTTCTTTTTAACGATGATCGAATTTTGCTTGCAGCGACTGATTTTTTATTTGGAGGATTAAATTAAATGGTGCTGACCTCGTATGAAATTTTTGGATGATACTCACCTCTAGGGTGTTGGAGAGGCGGTCCTTCTGCTCCGGTGACAAGGCCATGGACCATGCCATCGTTACTGCGCACAGTAAGCTCAGGGCGACAAAAGTAAAGCTTGCAGAATGCATCTGCAAGAGCAAGAAATGTATCTATTTGAACACTTATCAACAGTATCTATTAAAATTAAAACTTGGCATTTAAAATGTTTGAAAATATAGGAAATTTGTCCAGCCTACAGGCCAGTTCTTTCAATATTTCTAATTTCATCCAGAAATCTGACCTTCTGATATTTTAAAATCAATTTTTGTTGTTGGAACTTCTCAAAAAATAAAACTTACTTAATTTATAGGGTTCATTCAGATTAATTTTTTCTGAAATTCAACTACAGTGCTCCCTTGAATTTAATGTTATACTTTTATGTTTATAGCTTTAAACTACAGTTTAAATTTTGCCTTTTTAACAAATTTCAGCAAATAAAAAATGGCTAGATTCCAACTCCATTATAGGGGCTGTGATAGTTATTGGGAAGAAAATATATTTTTATTTTTCCTCCCTCACTGAAACTGATGAAAGAGGGTAGCTCCACTCTCAAAATATATTACACAATACTAATGGACTTTGGAACAACCTCCCGCCAGTTTGCACTTGTTGCAGCTCACAATGGGTCTCAGCAAAAATCAATAAAGAATTATCGTTTTGCATCTTCAAATTAAGAAAATAATAGTAACTTTTTATTTGTAAAATGGCCATTTTAAATAATAGTTTAAGACGGCAAAAGAAATCTCTTTAAAATTTATTACATAGCACAATAAAAAAAGACAAAAAATAGTAATGAATAATCGTCTTATTTGATTATGCTTGACTAAAAGCGAAATAAGGACAATTTGAATTGAAGCCTATAATTTTTTGGGATTTTTGAAAAATTTCTGATCTCAAAAAGTTGCTTCCAAATCTATTTCCTATTAATATATTTATTTTGAATTTCAAAATAAGATTGTAAAAACAAAGATTAGAATGATTAAAAACGGAAAATAGACGAACTCTTATTGATAATTAATTGTTTAAATTTATACCTATCATGTTTTAATCCATTTCTCGTTTCAAACATTTTAATTAAAAAAAGGCACAAGAAACATTTTAAATGATATTTAAAATTGATAAAGGAAATATAATGCAAAATACGAACAAATTGTTGATACAATTGGTAAATAATAAAAATTGATAGTAAAAAATTTTATGACTAGCAAGGAAATAAATACTCACCTATGTGTTGCTGTTGGTTAGCTTAGTGAGGGTTTTGGTGGGCCAGCAGCCGCCTTTATCTCCGTAGGCCAGTGCATGCGCGGGACTCTTTGCGATCAGCGACGCGTCGTGTCATAAGTCGTCGGCGGTGCAAACCCTCATACTTCGTCATTCATTTTCAACACCCCCACTTTTCGATACGCAGTCCCACCACTTTCGAACTCCATAAGATGCTCATTATTCACCTACGCGTGTTCCACATTTCATGCGTGCGACACCCTCGATCCTTCCACCAGGAACTGTGCATGCGAATCTTCCTTTAAATTAAATTTTGAGTCCGGGGTTAATGAAGGTGCAAGACGGGCTAATTTATCGTGTCGTCAATTTAGTTCAAAGAAAGCAATTTGAATATTCATGTTCAGTCAAATTAATTTTCTTTCGCAAAAGGAAATGTAATTATATTTAAAATTGCAAATATAGACTCTTCTCACTTCTGTACAATAATAGCATCTGATTTTCTTACAATTAAAGTATATTTCAGTGGAGTTTTATTTGTAATAAGTTTTCGTTTTTTAAAAAAACTTCCGTCCGCCCACGCACATTTTTTTTTTGTATCTTTATATTCCTGAGACGAAGTGGCATCTTTCTGACCCCTGCGGCATTCAATAAGAACTTTTCCTGAATCGGGAGAAACTCTTCTCAACAATACAATGGATTGGCACGTGACGACAAAAGAGAACTCGTGCGTCAAAAGATTCGCGCTAACAATATAAAAGTTCCAATTGCGGTTAAAGTGCGTACTTTCATTTCTCAACAATTATTTATTGCCGCATTTGGATGAAAATCAAGCCTTGCTTTAGAAGTGCAAATGATCTGCACAAAGTTTTGAAAAGTCTGGAAAAATATGGAAACGCGATTTTTTTTATGACTTTGCTGATTCGGAAACTCAAGTTGCGAGGGCGTCTGAGGGGTTGCGTTGTTTGGCCTCAACCGGCAGGACGCAGGTGCGGTTAAAATTAATTGGAGAGTCGCTTCTCATTTAAAACATGGCTTACAACGAAAGTTGAAAAGCACTGAACTTATTTTGGTGCACATGGCATTTATTTATTCATAATCTATCCCTCTTGAGAAAGTCAAACATTAGAAAAGAGATCTTTTTTATTATGGGTGCGTGTGTAAAATTTGATGTAAACTGATTGGAGAATAAACAAAGGAATTTGCAATGTTTTGGATTTGGCCCACTCTACGCTCAGTTCTTTAAGCAAATCAGCATAAAAAATTCAATACAATTCATTATATGCGCAGACAAGCTTGAAAATATTGAAAAACGCACATATGTATTGTGAAACGTAAATTCTCCTGCCTACACAGCTAGTTTTTATGATATGTCCGCTTTTCCGCTGTATCATTCTCTCAGCAGGACGAATAGATTTATGTCATAAACACACGTTTCTCAATTTTCCTATGAACTATACATCTTGGCCTGTTGAGCATCGATTTTATTTATTTGCATCAAACAATCTCGCCTTGTACTGTTCCAATATCCGGGCCATTTCCTCTTCAATTTTGAATTGACTATTTCAGGGCTATAATCTGTTTTAAGATTAGTAGTGCCCTTCAAGCGTTTCTGGCAATGAAAATTATTTTCCAAGCAGCAAAGTTAGCTTGCTAGCGAATTTATACAATCTGATGATTTCATTTCAAATCTTTTCTTTTATGAAAAACAAGATTATAGTTTTGCAATATTATGGAATTAATGATTGATTTTTTTTTATTTATAACACATACTATTACTTATACTTAAAAAGATAGAGATTTAGAGATCTAGAGAATATATTCCAATTTAGCAAAATATTAACGTTCATGTGATATTAAATTAGGAGCCTTTGCATTGATTTCAGTGATGATGACCTGCCATAAGTCTATAGAGAACAGAAATGATTGCCTGTAAAGACCTGTCTTTGCGCCCACGACACACATGTTAATCTCTTTGCACCAAAAGAGATATAGTTATTCCAATTAAGCGCCCCGCCAGTAAGTCAATAATTTTCCGGGAACCTGGACATGTGCGTCAAATTGATGACCGGCCAGCTTTTTGGTGATCCATCATCCAAAGCACACGACATACAGTGTGGCCCGAGCATATTGCGCCGCCGAGCCCCACATCCATCCTTATCCACCCCACGCATGTCTTGATAATTAATGTGTAACCACCAATAAAGTGTGGCTATGAATGTTAATATACAAGAACGGTCAATAATTACTTAAGCCTTTAAGAAGAAGCCAACATGTTTAAATTAAATTAATGTGATAAGTAACAGTGACAAAAAAAATAAAATAAATTAAGATTAAATTTTGAGGTTTTTTTATGTAAAAAAAAATGGAATTATTTTCTGCAATGACAGGATGAAAAGATTTGCTGGCTAGTTTCTGTTTTTATATTTATTCATTTTCTGATCAAACTGGGCTCAAGTATTGTATTTTAGTACCATAAGTAAATAAACATTGATAAATATCATTACTTAAATTTATTTTAAAATGCAACGTAATCTATAAATATGCACATAACAAATAACAGAGGACTTGATTTATGGAAAATCAAACGAAAACTTTTTATCTAGATTACTTAATTTGAAAACGGGAAGAAAAAATTTAATTTTTCTTTGTACAAATTTTGCGAGCAGAGATGCCTTTTTAATAAACGCTTTCATAATTCTTTCCGGAGGCCCATTTTAGTAGCAATCAGTTATAGAGACATTCGTAGCATTCAAATTTATTTTCAATGTCCGTGCAAAAGAACTCAGTAGCTCTTGATTCGAACGTATCAATCGCCGGCGCTTTTGATGGAAAGAAATGCTCGCATAGTGTCAAAAACTGCCGCAAGAAGGCATGATATTTCTCATCCACAGTTTTTTTGTTTTTTCCTTCATTATAGTAACTAATTTATTTATTTTGTTTGTTTAGTTAACCTCTTTGTATATAAATTAAAAAATTTGTTTTTAGTAAGTGATTAATGTTTTTATAAGTAATAAAAATAATAGTATATAGATAAATAATTTTTTAATGGTTTTTTTAACTATGAGTAAATTTAGAGATTTTTATTCCAAAATGCTCTTTCTACAAGTTACATTTTTCTAGATAATATTGAATCTCAAATCATTAATATTTCAATTAGATAATGAAAGCACCTGATATCATCTCAAATGTAAAAATAGAAATAGAATCTTATTGAACAAAGTTTATTTTGATTTTCAAAACTTAAAAAGAAATGTTTCAATTTTCAGAACTTTTTATGGCTATTTATTTTCGTCAGCAATAATAATAAATTATTCCAAATATGAGATAACAAATTTAGTTTTTGTTCTAAAGATTTTTGACAATTTTGTGTTCAATTTATTGAGAATTTTGATGGTATAAAAATTAAGTGGTTTGAGCAGAAGTGAATGAAGGTCTAGAATAAATAGGTGCAGAGTAAAAAAAATCAGACACTGGAGTAAATCACACAGCTCAATGATGAATCCATAAAATAGGCGTAAAACGCCTGCCGAGTGACCCGCGCGCGGACCGCTATGGGGTGTCCACAGCCCAGGGGCCGCCAATGGAAAAGTCGAGTCAAATGAACCCAGCGGGGCACCTTGATTTGCTCACATCCGCCAACGCAACGCAGTATATTCGCCAACGTGTATGAATCGCCAATTGGTCTTAAAAGTTAGGCTACCTGTTGCATCGCTACGTTTAACCGGTTGCCTAACGCGCTAAAGAGGTGCGTCCAATTTTCACAGCACCGGAATCCTGAATCTACAGGAAAATGTTCGCTCATTTAAAGTGCTCAGAAATGATTGCACAAAGTTGACAACGTGTTTTTTTTTCAATCAGCGAGGCAGTGAATTTGACCTCTTAAGCTGCCGGGATGCAATAAATTCACTGAAAATTATGATATCAAGTAAAAAATGAGTGAGTCGCGAAGGAAAAGTATGAAATCATTGAATTATAGGTAGCATTGGTGCTGTTATTGAAGGTTATTGGGTAACCGAGCCAATTATTTCAATTATTCAAACTGTCGTTTCGGGAATTTTAGTCCGTTAGATTGTATTGTAAGCTATTAGTGCTCAAGGTAAATTTTGAATAGCTTCTGTAAACTGAGATGAAATTGAAAACTCCATAAAATAAAATACAACTCCACCCCGGATTGACTTTCAAGTACACATTATCCAAGAGAGCATCTGCAACGCGCATCAAAATCTCTAGATTTATCCAAAATATAACATAATTTTTATATTTTGAGGATGGAGCATCTTTCTTTAAGCTGATTTTTTTAAAACACTGACAATTCCAACCGCTCGTTTGAGGAAATAAAAATTTCTGGAACGGCAAAAATAATTTGAAGTAAAATTAACACTTCAAACAGAATAAACAGTAGATAAAAGAGATATTTATGAGCTTTATGCAATAACAATAAAATTTGGAAGTGAGAAACAGAGTTCATGGTGATTTAAATTTATTTTTGTAGCAATGACGATATTTTTTCAGCTTTTCTTGCCTTAAGTGAATTTTGAAAATAAAATTTAATTTTAGATGGGATTTAATTAATGGGTAGTGCGACGCCTCATGGTCCACCATTTTTTGGTCAAAATCAGAAAACTCTTTGGAATAATGTTGATTGAGAGAGAGAAATTTATTGTGATTTTTTTTACTGTAGGCGTTTCAGCAAAACTGCTATAGTTATACCGGCGTGAGTGGCGTAGTGGTTTGAGTGTTAGGCTACCAATACGAAGGTACAGAGTTCAATGCTTTGACGTTGTTAGCGCGTCAAAAAGTGCTCTGTATCGTCACTCATGTTCGGGAGGTGTCGCAAGGCGCCGAACTTGTCTGCTCGAGGTTTGTGCCGTTTCCTCGAGTTGTTGGAATTCCTGCACCAAATGGGGGCATTTCATAAAGTCCAGCGGCACCTGGCTAATTTGGTAGACTTTCCAGCCGATAAGCACCGAATGGAGCTTGGCAGGATCATAGTCTATTCAAATGAATCAAAAAAAAAAAAAAAAAAAAAAAAAATATAAACCCTTTTTCTTCTCTATTTATTCTATTATTTGACTGATGTGATGTGAGAAGGAGAATAAATTTTATAATCCGAGATCGCACTACTTATGATAAAATATAAGCGAATAAGAGGAATTTTGCAAAGTTGACGCATGTCCCCCACCGTAGGCGTGATTTGCTATAAAGGCAGAGCGTGGCTTAGGCGCCGAACGCAGACATGAACGTGTGGCCGTCGCTCCACGTGCTCGCGGGCGCTGCACTTTTGGTGCTTTTGCTGCTTGGACGTGCCCCAAAAGTGACCGCCCGCCCAGCCACCGAGTTCGACTACGAGGACCAATCTCTCCTACCGGACCAAAATTACGTGAGTATCGTTGCTTTGGCTCAACAAATGCACCGCTTGATTCAAAATTATCAATGGAAATCAATAGAAAATTTTTAATTCACAAAGACAGGATATAAATTTATGGTAATATTTGTGAATCGTTCTTTAATTTTATTGTGTGTTTCACCTGTTTGAATGAAATCTGATCCACGCTATTTTGGCTGTGACTTCAATTATTAAAAATAATTTAAATATTCTAGTGAGAAAAATCATTCGGACGGAATCTGGCAATTTGTCTAATTTTTAATTGTATTTTATCAATTACTTATTTTGTGTAATTAAATAATTGATTACAATATTTTTTTTATTGACCATTTTTCCTTTTAATTTAATTGTAAATTGGTTCATCAAATCAGCAGCAAATTATAAAAGCTGCGCACTATATGAACCTCTTAATTTACTTTATAAGGTTTCCAAATTATTCTTGCAGAATCTGCAATTTCAGCGGCTAATAATTGCAAAAATTTTTAAAATTGAATACTTTGCAAGTTTTAGGTGCGATGCAGAAAAATAATTACTTTTAAAAATGCAGACTTGTGGCCTGAAAAAGTTTCTTCTTGGAAAAAATTGCTAAAACCGCATCTTTTAATAAATCCACGGCACCCTTGCTTGTTAATCGACTTTCGCGGCTTCCAAGACTTTGTGCGCTAGAAAAGTTACCTTGTTGACATTTGACTTTTGCACTTTTACAATATAAGTGGAAAAACGACACTATCTGAGACAGTAGCTCAGATTGCTGGCCCGAATTTTCTTACATGTTTGCAAACGAGTGTAACGTATGGGCCAGGATCCAATTTCACGTTCGCTGGAGCAAATTGACTGCTTCTCCTGTTTGTGTTGCAGTTTGCTGTGCCGAAAAGGACAGCCATGGTGCTTGATAAAATGATGATCGCCCTGCAGAGGGCCCTTGATGATGAGACACTCAACACAAGTGCAGCACAGCCAGAACAGGTACGAATCACTGCATTTTATTGTCAGTTTTCAACAATTCACAAATAGAAGTTAAATATTTTTACAGCATATAAGCATGGCTCAGAAAATTACCCATTTTTATTGGTTAAAACAATTTAATCCTTTTTTAATTATCTTATTTGCAAGAGGATCTTTAAAAAGTGTTTTTATTTATAAACTGGAATTTTTTAATGTAAGATTAAAAAAACATATAAACAACAAGAACGTGTTATATAAAAACCTTTATGATTATTATGTCATGGAAATCACACAATGCTAATTGCAGATGAAATTGTCAAAGGGTGATATTTATAACATCACGCCATAATGCAATAAAATTGGATGCAATAATAATTTAATGACTTTGAACACTAACTCCTATTAATTGAGCGTTTATCTTGTTGATTGAAAATATTCTAACTCTGAAAAAAATATTTTTAGATGGATTTGCAGCGTCGGAACCAGCAGAAGGGCCGCGTCTATTTGCGATGCTATTTCAACGCAGTAACTTGCTTTAGGAGAAAGAAATAATAATGCAGTTTTATCAACTACGCACCTGTATTTCCACTCTTTTTAGTAGAAGAAACTCAAATTCAGCTGTGTCGATTAAACTTTTGTGTCTAAAGTTTAATTTTAATCCAACATAAATATTAAGAGTTGTCAATATCTAGATTATTATTATTAATTTTCAACATATATTTTTTTATTTGATCTCATCTCTGTATTAATTTATTGTTTTCTTGACGAAAAAATTCAAACTGAGTTATGTCTCTAATAATTATTTTCAACAAAATAAAATTATATCGCTAATTTTTGTACCAACAAATTTCCCACTCTGAGAGCAGCTGCCAACCCACCTCTTCTTGTTTGAAATAATTTAGTTTGTTCTGGCGGTCTCTGTACAACCCAGTGACCTACACGGGCAACTATTTATCACCTGCGCGCTGCCTGCATGAGCTCAATCACGTCTCATTTTCAACACAAAAGCAACCTACACCTAGGAGCAGCTCAGCTTCTCACAAAATTCAAACGTGTCTCTCTGTCTGTTTTTACTCGACATAACATGCATTGTATTTCTTACGATGAATAAAAAAACACGCGACTACTACGTGACACTTTACATTTCTTTCTTATTGAAAGTTAAAAATTTGCGCTACCATGGAAGGTAAAAATTATAATTTTCTCTTTTTCAATTTAAAAAAAAAACACACATGCTTATCCAGCGATATTGAGGAAGTGAACAAATTCAGCGACATAGACATCAAGGAGCTGATTGTGCCAGTTATAAAAGATCGCTGGCCGTAGGAATAAAGAAATTAAAATGGAAAAAATGTGGATAAAGGATGAAGCAGGAAAGGACTTCCTTGGCATGAGAAAATTTAAATTTCAGACAAGGCGGATCCTTTTGTTAAAGGGTTTGGTGGCACTTTTGGGTCCCTAATCTTTTTTAATTCTTTTTTCTCCTACGAATTGGAATATTGTGAATACTTAATTTGTGTAATTTATGATTTATGATGTTTGGAGGAAATCAATTGAGTTGGTGACGAACGTTCGTTAGGCTGACAGGATATACGATTTTAATACCTATATGGAGCGTTTGGCAGTTCAAAACGAAAAAAGTTCATAATTTTTAATAGAATTTTAGAATTTTGAATATGTTAAAAAAAAAACTGTATAGCGCTGAATGTTTAACAATCAAATGCGTTCCAATATCGAGTCAAACTTGTGCAAGTAAATTATTTAATTTTAAATTCACACTTCCTGGTTCTCCATCCAGCCTTTGACACGTAGGAGCTATAAAAAAATTAGCACAGATTTTTTTTAGTAGCTTTTACTTTCAAACTAGGGACACTAAATTTTAATTGACTGACGTACAAAAACTTCGATTTTCAGTCTGAAAATGTCCTGTGTGCATCATTTCTGGTTGCCTCTGTAAAAGGGTGTTCGATATCCGAAAACTGCCAACTGTGGCAGGAAGGTGGCGAGGTCGCCGCGCAGCATCTACAGTGCGGTCACGGCAACCCAAGGCCAGGCAGTCGCGATTTGCGTGCTAATGAGCCACAACGCATACGCCGTTGCCTGCTGTGTGCACCTAAAAATCTTTGATTTTCAATTCATGTTAAGGGTCTGGCTACGAAAAAGTTTTTGTCTCTTGCTTTTTTACTAATTTAGATTTGTCGCCCAAAAGATTTGTGATCTTTGGAGAATTCTGTGAATTGGTTCTGCAAATTTGATCTACAAACATTTTGTTGATCTACATTGAATATCGAGAGAGAAAGTGTTTTGTTTTCATCTTCAAATATAAGGCGTGCTGAAAATCAATGGGCGCACTGCAATGAGAGTGTCAGCCCCTTGTATACATCGCGCTTATTTAGGTGGTGTCTTCAGAGAGGAATTCTGAAAAGCGACAAAATTTAATTTTGTCGTAATTTTGAAAATTATGTCAGGATTAAATGTTTGACGCGACGGGACAAAACAAATAGCTAGAACGGCCAAAGTTCTTTTTTTAAACTTAAATTAAAATTTGAAATGGAAAACTGAAAAAAATTGCAAAAAAAAATATAAATATTGTGGTAAATAAAAATGTGACAAGTTATCAAAATAATTTACATATTTCGAGAAAAATGGGCTTTCGTATTTTTCTTGATATTAGAAACAAAAAATTTGCTTGGCTGCTTGCAAAAAAAATGTGATTATTGTCGCTTTGAAACTTTCTTGCTAAACTCACAAAAGATGAAAAAATAATAAAATAGGAATAAATCAATTTAAAATTTTTAAATATCAACCCCGTCTGTTAAAAATCAAAATTTTAAATTTTGAAAGTTAGTGTACCGCATTCACTTTACTCCATCACAACGCAGGAAGCTACTGAGCCCTGAGCGTTTCTTCTGTGGCTGACAAAACTAGAAATTCATTCCATTTTTCGTCTCTATCAAAATAAACTACCTGACCACTTCACCCAATTAATTTCAAGTGGCGGAAAATCAATCGCTTGAACTGCATTAAGAATTGTTAATTCTCGATTTAAAGTTACCACGTGGAAAAATCTCATCACGCACTTTTGGAATTCCGAACTTTAGGCGGTGCGCACGATAAAAGGAGTGATTCATGAGATGAAGGGTGCGTGCGTGTGAAAATCACGGCGCGCTGGAACGAGCGTCCGCGTGTCATTAGGAGGGAGGAGCGGCGGGCGGCCGGCGCAGGTAGCCGAGCGCGTGCACCTGCTGGCCGGCGTCGGTAGCCCTGCTCTCGCGATCGCCCTACTACTACCTTTTCCCTCTCTCAGGTGGCAGGAAGGGCCACCGCGCCGGCCAGCCAAGCCAGCCGGTGCAGTGCGTGTTGGGATGATGAGAGAGCTGGACACTGTCAGCCCAGTGGTGTGGCCCGCTTGGTGTTACTCAGGTAGGCCAATTCATTTCTTTGCTTTAAATTTATAACCAATTTGTCCATCGACAAACGATAAAGTGTCTGTTAATTATTAATGCATTTGAACCAACTTTATTTATTGTTTTACTTTTAAATTATAAATTACAAACATCAAAATTTTGGTGTTCAATTTTAATATTTACCAATTCAACGTTAGAAAGGCACATAATTAATTTATCCAAGTTAACATGACTCTGTGTTATATTAAATCAATTCCAATGTGTCCAATAAAATAAATATTCTTTGTCTGCACAAACCAAATTTACAATGATACATAATTATTTCATTGAGTGTTTCAAATAAATTATAATTTAAAAAAATATTTATATTGGCAGTAATATTAATTAACAATGAAAATCATCCGCATTTTGATTTTCCCGTTTGCCCCCTCTCAACTATATGATATAGAAAATGATCCAGAAAATCATAGATGGCGAATGACAATTTTAATTGGCACGATCACAATACGGTGCACGTCATCAAAATACTTGTCAATCCATAAAATTTCTAGCGAGTTAAAAAATTGTAAAAAAGAGCATTAAAAGGATTGGTTAGTAGCTTATTAAAGATGGTTGCACTCACTTTATTAGTCAGTTTACATTCAAATTAAAAATTAAATAATTATAACAAAGTTAAGAGTAACTTATTTGCTTTAACTTAAAACCCCCCAATATTTTTGCAGCAAAAAAAAAATGAGAGAACTATGGATATGGATATAAAAGCGTAAAATTTAAATATCATGGCCAAAATTTTGATTGCTGACTCTTATTATTAAAATATTTTCGTGGGGTTTCAGGCGCAGTAATAAATGTTAAGGGCCTCGCTGAATACTGACGCGCAAATCTCCCTGAAGTCTACAGGGAACTTGTTTGTTTTTGTTACAATGCCGTGTTTAAAAAAGAAAACAAAAATTGGTTCCATGTTTCATGCAGCAGTTAAATGAAATAATCATAATTATATAATAATTTGAAAATCGAATTGAATCATTCAAACTGATTCTTTTAAATATGAATTTGATCATTAGATAAAAGTGGCTAGCACGGACTGACCGAACAATTCATAACCTTCAACAACAGCAAAGCAATTGTTACAAAAGTCGCCACGAGAACTGATGCGCGCCATCACATCATATAGTCAGTCAGTTTGGCCGCCCAGGCACTTTTTAAAAAACAGAAGGTCGTTAATTGTATCCATGAGTTGACTGTCAATTGGCGTAGTATTTCATGCTGCTTTTGCGGAAGGCTAAAACGAAAGGGCGAGTGTTTGACACTCCAATTTTGTTAGGCTATATTAGTGCAGGGGTAATAAGCAGGGAACTTATTGCTCTCTTTTTCACGAATTTTCACCGGGATTAATTATTTTTGGCCATTACAATTTTTAAGTTTCAAAAATTATTTTTTAATATATTGAAGCCCAATATATTTAGAATCAAATCATTTCACCGTATCCTGTTTGAAAAATAGCTTTTATTAGATCATAAAAAATTCTTAAAATTCAGCGTTATCTATATAATCTTATATCTAATTGGCCGCTAATTGTCAAAGCATCTGAAAAATTGCTCCCTCCTTTTTTCCAATGAATGGAGAAACCAGGCTGCGACGTGGATAACTTTTTTTGGCCCCCGCGCTGCTGAATGCGGCGCTAATTAAAATCGCTTGTGAATAATTGTGAATAGCTAATATTAAACTCGTTGGTGTGTGCAACCGAGAGAGATGTGAGAAAAGCTTCTGCTGCTGCGGGTGATTCTATTAATCATTCCACGGTATCTGCTAAAGAAACCAACGGCGTGACTGATAATGGTCCTGCCCGCGCACCCTGGCCATCAGTGAAAAAAAAGAGCGGAAGGATTCAGAGCATGGCATTGAGGCCGAGAACGTACTTATTTCTTGTGTGAGCATTTTGATTTCAAGCGAATTGAACTGAGAGATCGTTTTGAGTTTGTGGTGAGATGCCCAAACGAAGAGTGCTCTCAATAAATAAGCTGCATAATATACTGTTTTACTCTTTGTCAAAATGTTTTTATTCTGCCTTGTGACAAATAGTGCTTTTTGCATTATTGAAATCCTCTCCGCTCACCACAATGCATTTTGTCCAACGACTTATTCTAAGAAGCATATTTTTTTAAAGTGCTCCACCAACTTGGGCGCGTGACAATGTAAATTTGTATGGAATTATCAATTTAAGATTAATCGTATGACAAAAAATCGTCCATATTTTGATACAGCTTTTTTATTACGGTGGAAAGCTTTCTAATGTAATTCCATTTTCAAAAGATAAATTATAGGCCAATTTTTATTGTTTTATTCTACGCAAGTCATAATTAATAAGAACCAAAAACTACATGAAGACACAAGTGGTTGCAAAAGGGATACTAATATTGAGACTCGAACGACAGACTATTATTATAATGTATTTCTTTTGTGAAAAAAAATTTAAATGGTAGCAAATTGATTAACATTATTTCTCGTAAATATAAAATTAAATAGTTGATTAAAAATAATTTAATTAAAAACTTACTTTAAATAAAGTATAAAGATAAAAATTAATAAAAATAGTAAAGAACAAGAACTTTTTATAATATTCCCATTAAAATTGTGTCTGCCTAACAAAATATTCTTGCTTATTCAACATTCAACAATAAAATTTTTAAGTTGGGAAAAGTTTTTGTATTGAAATGAAACAAGAAATAACAAAATGTTAGTGATTGAAGAAAAATATTGGAATTTTAAAACTTTTTCAAACTCATAGTGATTGAACTTTTTCTAAATTGCAGGGTGGCCATGTTTCTTTTGGCTTTTGGTCTCTTTTTTGGCATCTCTGCTATAGATATTTAACAATTTGTCAGTTGCTCTTATCGTTAGAGTGGAGCCGCGCTTCGTGCCTTTTTAAAGGGAGTTCTTGTAAAATAATCTTAATTCTTAGGATATTTATCATTGCTAAATTTAATGAATTGCTCTACTAAGGAAAAGTTCATTGATTGTAAAGATTATTATTCAAAGAAAAGTGAAGTTACTATTCTTCGCAAGGGTTGCTACTTGGCAATTGGGCTTATCTAACTTTTAAAATACTTCACATCTTGCATAAGTGCCCTGACCACACGCTTTTAAGCAATACGTAGATTACAGTAAATATTTTGCATTTAGAGGAAACTAAAGAATGCTTGAAGAAGACAATTCTATCAAAAGTTGTAAAATAATAATGTGTTGTCGCTGCCCTCCTAATTATCACTATATTCCTGGGTCAGATAAAACTTTTATATTGTTTATCAGAACAGGTTTAATGATTGACTGGTGCACCACAAACCATACCAAGTCTCGGCTGTGTAAATTATGAAGACGAAGGAAGATCTCTGTGCAGCGGCCGGCGCGGTAGCCTCTCTTTTTCCAAGGCTCGCTGGTCGTGAACAGTGGTTGCTTTTGTTTGCACAGTGACTGGCACTTTAGGTCCAACAGGTGCGTGACGACTGCTCGGCGTTTTTCATCCACGGCCGCATGGTCCAGCGTCCAATACCCCGCTGGACATCCCAGACGCGGCCGCAAATCCATTCCCAGCAGTTGCATTAGATACGATTCTATATATTATGCTCTCTCGCAATGTTTGCTCTTCTTTTATTTGCCATCATTTCTTTTCATTCCCCGACTCGCTTCGAGTCCACAGATTTGCCTTTCCTATGGCGTTTTTCATTGTTTGCAATTTCAAAATATGACTAATTCTGCAAATCACTTCACCTGCATTGATTTATGCATGCGAACAGATTTACCCTATTTTAGCGTTGGGGTCGCAGCAATTTCGTGCAATATATATACAGTTGTGAGTTTATTGCTATGCTGTATTATTGCACTTTTTATTGCCTTCATCTAGTTCATCACGGCGATAAAATTTCTCATCGCAGTGCGCCCCATTTGAGACGGTTCAGAAAAAGAAAAAGGGAAAAAATATTAAAAAAAATCAAGGCTCACCAGGCTAACTTTTGTTACATTTTTTATGTAATTGCCCAAAAATTGACAGTGTGAATCTGTGAAAAAATTTCAAGATATAGACGAGGTAACATTCAATTTACTTTTTGTTTGACGAAATTTTTGTGCTCGTCTTTTGACTCTTTTTGGAAAAATGTCACTCAAATTTTTGCACAAAATCATTGCAGCGTTATTAGATATCTTAAAACGTGTTTAATGTGGATCGCGGGGCGTGGGAATGAATCGCGCCGTGTCGTTCGATCCGGGAGCCAATATTTTAGAGTGACGCTGAACATTTCGGTGCATGTTTCACGCCTTGATGCCCACCCTAATGACGAGCCGACGTTGCGCGTTACATCAATCAATACATTACAAACTGCAGGCCGAGGCGCTTCCCAGAATTGAGAGTTTCGGTTCGGTGGCTGCTCTGTAATAAGAAAGGCACATGGGACGGGTCACTGCCGTGCAACGCCGTTTCTTACTAATGCTGTGGTCGAAGCGTTCTTAATTTTCTCACCATTTCGAAAATAATACAAAAAATCCATGGGTACCTTTCAGTATGAAAAGCTGTCTAGATGGATAAAGTTGACTTCAATTCATTTATTCTCTTGCAACAACTCAAAACAAGGAATGGAATATTGCATTGGGACAGATTCGGCAGCGGGATCTAGTAAAATGCTCGTGGGCCCCATTGGAAATAAAAAATGTTTCCGAATCAAATGAACTTGTCTTGCCATTAAGCGGTAAAAAAATCATCGATCAAGTAAGGCCAAAACGATAATTTTTAATAATTATGGAAATTCCTTATTGTTCCTAATTATTATTTGTTAATTCTTTTATTGCCAATAATTTTCTAATTCTTGTCCTTAATATTTGTAATCAATTCGGTGGGGCACGTCTTCAATTTAAAGTTTGAAATGCGCTTTTTCACTTTTTGTTTTTGTTGAAATATTGTATTATTTTATCACTTTAAATCTTGAATGGAAAATAATTAATGATTAGTTGACTGATAAATTTTTCTGCGTCTGTTGCAGGTGAAGGTGGTACCGAAGGCGAAGCCACCACGGAGACACCAAAATCACGGAAGCGGCGTGCACAACAGGCAGCCGCACCCCTTAGCGGGGACATGGCTGAAATGAAGACGGAGAGGGTAAGTCCCGCGCCGTCTCCCAGCGGCGCTAACCTGCCCGCTCTTAAGCACATGGAACAAATGATGAACCGCAACTACAGCGATTTCATGCGCAGCCTGGCAGCCAAGTACAACAACTCTAATCCAAATGAGTAAGTAAAAAATGGAAAAATATTATATTAAAGCAATATCTGAAGTTTTAAACAGTTTCACTTTTGAAAATTCTTATGTACTGAAACCTAAAAATGTTTGGAAATCGTCAGAAGGATCGTGTTTTCCTCCTATCAAGCGATATATTATTATATTAGTTTTATAAAAATAAACCTGTTAAACTTCAGAATTGATAAAAAATCTTATATATAAACATTAAAATTCATGCATTAAAATATATCCCGCGCTTTGATTACTAAGTGTTGAACAGCTTCAATTAAAAAAAGCAAAAACCATTAAAAAAATTTTACATTACGTTATATTCCTTAATTATATTAACATATGAAACCTATGAAAATTTATAAAAATTATTTACTCTGCTCATTCAATAAATATTTCAAAACTATCAAATTATTCGCACTAAAATGGGAATTACACGATTTTGCTTGATTGTGGTTTCAGCTACTTTAGCTGCTCAAGAAACGGCTACCTTAAATCAGGTCCCTTCCCCGAAGCGGCGACCTCTGCACCCGAGGTGCCCACCCCGAAGGTCTCCAAGCCAGGCGAGCCGTCGCCGATTCTGCTGGGCCACCCTGCCCTCGGCTTCCCAGGCATGATGGACATGAGCTCGACGCAGGCGCTGCTCAGCATGGTGCGTTCCGCCAACCTTGAGCAGTACTTTAAGGGCAAACAGGGCCCTTTGGACCTGAGCGCAGCCGCGCCACACCTCGCCAAAAAGGTCCGCTCAGAGCTCAAGAGCGTTTCGCCAAAACCGCCCCCTCGCTCGGCCAGCTCTGGCAGCGCCAACAGTGGCCCTGCAGCCCCTGCCGGCCACACTTGCCCTTCCTTGTGCACCGACCGGCCTTGCGAGGGTCAGGGCGTCTCGCACTGGGGCGTCGAGGACGTGTGCAACTTTGTTGGCAGCATCGACATCTGCGAAGAATACACGGAGGTAAGAGAAAACTTTTATTTTGTTTTATATTTTTTGCAGTTTACACCTTATGGTGCAAATTTTGGAGGTTTTAATTATAACAATCCATTTAAAGGAAAAAATTTGTCAAGGTTTCTTGCAAAAACATAAAACGGAAATAAAGCAAAAATCTCAAATATTATTAACTGTTATAAATATAAACAGGCTCAGAACAACCTGAATTATTCTTACAAATAGACTTTGCGTTACAAAAATAAATACACAATTAACGAATTGAATAGAAACAATGTGGCTGTTAAAATGAAGATAAATAAATAAAAATAATAATAACAACAAGATTCACAAATCCGTTCTCCCAAATACAAAATTTAAAGAATTGATGCCACTTGTTGAAAGATAAACAAAGCAATTGATATGAGTAAAAAATGCCGATCTGCTTTTTAATTTTACCGGAGGTTGAAATCTCTGCGGTACATTAATATTTAATATATAGTGTTATGCGGTATGAATAATGCAGCAGTTGTTGGCTGGCGTGATTCAGTGTACTGCTGGACCAGGTCGTCCGTTTTATTTATTTATGGCCGCGCAAGCTCGGCTCTTCATTTATATAAGGTTGATGATTTTTGTGAGAGGATAATATAGAATGCTCTTTGTATACACATGCAGCGAGAGGCAAGAAATGGAGAATCTAAATTGTCCGTCGCACGCTTGCTCGCGCGTTTGTCCGTAAATGCAACTTGACTGCTCTTTATTCTCGTGGGAGTTTAATGCATTTAAGCTAATAAAGTTTCTTATATCGCGTGTTAGAATAGTGCAATTTGAAAAAATGGTATATTGTTGCAATTAAATATTAAATCCGAATGGCGTATAGTAAAAAAGGATAAACCGGGATGAACAAATAAATATTCAATATAAACGCATAAATAATTGCTTAATTGATTACATTAGATTTGACAAAATGCATTTTTGTTATTCTTCAGCTAAAAGCTAATTAAATCTTTGGCAAATAATGTTTCATTTGAAATTAGGCTGAGGAATAACAACAATACTCAATTTTGTTAAAAGACTAAAATTATAATAAAAATTTAAAATTAATGGTATAGTATGCAATACAAATTAATATTTATGGAAAGCTTTTGAAGTTTGATCTAGTTTTTTCCGCGCTTTTTCTCGTGACACGATAAAATGAAATAAATTTACTCAAGACTCGTTTCCCATTTATAACCAATAGCGATGCCTACGGGATTTTTGCCATTTTTACTATCTGACTTGAGAAAAATGTGACCAATTATTGCTATACATTCAATCCGATTTGATTTTGAATCTGAAAGTCGTATGTGTTGTTATTTATCATCATTTCAGCAACACTGGCAAAATATGTTGGTGATTGTGTTGAACAACAAGAAAACTAACGCAAGTCTATAAAGTTAAAAGCTTTTGTGGTGGCGGCGACAGGAATCAGCCGTGTGATAATTTCATACAGAAACAAGACAGGTCTGGTGACTTGCGTGGCATCAATAAATCCTGCTTTGCCTTTTTTGCCGAGCCGTGCCGCGCCACAGCAGCTCGTTGGCAGATTGCGCAGCTGCACCTGCTCGCACGCTGCGCGTTATTAATACCAAACTTCCTGTGTGTCGCTCTACAACTATACATCTCTGATTTAAACAGCTGTTTTAATGACCATTTTCGAGCAGTGATATATCATATTTTTTGTACATATTTTCTTGTGGCGATCGCCCACTTATTGAAAATTGAAAGCGGAGACCAAAGTATTTTTTAGCAACATTAATAATTAAAGCAGCCAAAATGAGGGAGCTCTTATACGTCAATGTTTTAAAGATTTATGAAGAGCGGTTAACAATGGGCGTGCTAAAAGCAGATCTTTACCCATATAACTCGCAGCCCCTGGGACACTCGAGTCTCGCCTGAAAAATCCTTCCTATGGGAAAACACTTGACTTTGCCGCCCCTAATCTCTCATACTTTGCAAAAATTTGGAAACTTTAACGTCAAAACTTCAATTTAAATTTTCTGTTAGATGCAAATGTAATTACTACCTTTAGAATATAAAATATAAAAATTTAGCATTAATTTATGTTTCAAAATTAAAATCTTTTCCCGAGACGAAATAACGTTTTTGTTTATTCACATTCAATTAAAAATTTTAAATTTTAAATTTTTTGATTAATTCCCCAGCTATGAAAGATAAAAAAAATCTGTTGATTTAAAATGCACAAATCTACGCAGTAGAAATATTGGATAAATTAATAAACAACCGAAATAATAATTTTTGTTTACTTGACATTAGCCAGCGGCGGTGATAAAAATCTCGTCGTTTATTATTTGTGTTCTACATTCAAAATAAGAATAGATAATTTGAAAATGATCAAAAAGAGTCAAATCACAATTTAAAACCCAATAAGTTAGTAAGTATGAATATATTATATATTATTATGTTATTTATTTATTGCCTTTCTGTCTCACAATATAATAAATACATACAATTTTTCAACTCTTTGCAAGGAAATAACTAGAATGAAAGCATCGCTCTACTATTATCAATAAAAAAAGAGCCATCCGTTGTTGAGCGCGCAAGATGTACATATGCGTTCTTCCGCTCCACACTGGTTGCAAGACGCGCCTTGCGGTGAACCGCGGTGGCCACCTCAGGTCAGAAGGTCACATCCGGTCACACAGAAGGGAAATAGGAATTTCACGGCTCGTTGCTCTTTTTCATTGAGAAAGCAGAGAGGATTCAACTCTGCTTCCGTTCCTTTCTGCGGTGTGAAGACGCTTAAACTTGTAACACATCCCTAACAAATCAAAATTTTATATAGACACATTGGTCGATTCGAGATTGAAAAGCAGTCTCGGAGAAGAAGACAATTAAACTTTTTTAGAGAGAGAGAGATGAGTTGGCAGGGTCGGAAGGTCGTCCGCTCGCGGCTCCGGCCAGCAATAATAGAGGATGATATGGCGTGACTGACGAGAGCAACGTAAAAAAGCAACCCTGAGGCGGCGGCAAAGGCCCCACCTTGCTCAGGTCGTGACCTTCTCTGCTCCAGTTGCCCCGCCCCGCCTGCCAGTAGCCCAGAGCTACCGCCCGTTCGCCGGATCGGCCGCCCGCCCGCCCGCCGACCAAGGCCACAAGTGTACTCTCGTGAACTCGCAACACGAGCCCTTCCCTCACAAAACGCGCTGACCTGTCACTTGACCAAAACACATCGCCACCACTCATTCGTTTGCGATCATCGCCGATCGCGCGCGGCCCATTGTCAAGGACCGCGCGCAGCTCATGCCGCGATCAACGCGCCAAGATAGAGCCACGATTGCAGTCCGTTCGTTCGTCTCGATTCGGAAAATTGAAATATATCTTGGGATATTTAGAAATTCATAAAAAAATCACTCTTCCAAAATGAAATTTGCAAATTTACGTCACAAAATTCTTTCCATCAAAATTGCAGTCATTCAGAATTAACAAACAGAGCTAATCAGCACTGCTTCAAAAAAATTTAAACGCTAGGTTTTGCATGAAAACGTTTTGCAACACCTTAATTTAAAAAAAATTTAATTATTTATTATAGAATTAATAATAAAATAAAAATAAGGAAAAGAAAAACTAAAGATGTTGAATAATTATCTTTACTCCTATTGAGAATTGACATTCTTTATTCACTCTAAAGCATATTTTTTTACGCCAAAATCATTTTCTGATTACCATTTTTGAGTAGCTCAATTTGAAAATTTCACTACTTTTTAAAGCAAATTTCGCACACAAAGCACACCTAAAATATTTAGGGCGTAGGAAAAATTGGGAAAAATGTAGCATTAATTAAGAAAACGACATTCCTGATTTCTAGAATGGTAACTTTTCCCGTAAAAGAACTCCATAGTCAACCATTTAGGAACAGCCACTTTCAATCACCCCAACAACATAATTTACTGTCACCGTTAAAAATATTATCATTGGAATTAATTTATTCTCCATTTATTTTATTGCATAAGAAAAAGTACAAAAAAAAGATCATTTATATGAATAAACCTGCATCAAAGTTGCAAGAAATATTTCAATTAAAAAAATATACACTAAAAATACATTATAATTTTATATAATTAAAAAGGCTTCATCGGATGCGAACACGCGCATCTTTCCGGAATTTTAAAATACATAAAAATGAGAAAAGAAACCTAAGGTCCCATAAAATGTAGTAATCATGAAAAGCTTGGACTGATCTAACTGTCAAAAAAGGCTGGGCTCTATATAAAGTGGAATAAGAGAGCTGGACTGGAGCATATCTCTGCAGGTGCTATTAACTTCATCTTTTCTGCTCTGCTTCATCAGCTTTTAACGTTTCTGTATATAATTGAACGCAATAAAATTAGGTCCGGCCTGATGGCTGCCGCGAGGTCACGAGCCGTGGACCGGGACTGCCACGCGAGGGTATTCTGCAGGACACGCAAGGCCCACAGGGTGCGCGTGTTTGCATGCGAGCGCACGGGTCAGAGGCCGCCGTGAGCGCCCCGGGGATCGACGTGAGGAAATGCGCGTGGCTTTTGGCAAACGTAATTGCTCCGAAACGCAAACTCGGCCGCTCTCTTTCCTTCGTTTATTCCTCTCTGTCAAGATAAAGCAAAGATTCTTATTCTTTTCGTTTTCCTCTCCTTGGTTTGTTCTGTCGAGATTATTCACAGACCAATCAATTGACGCGGTTTTGCACTCCGGAGGATCGGTAAAAATACAAATATGTTCATCTCATATGATCTCATTTACTATTTATTAATTTAATATTGGCTCGTCTTGTAAAAAATTATCAAGTTGAATATGCAGATTTTTTTTTTATAAAAATGAGGAAGTTGAAATTCTTGCAATTATCGCATTTATCATATTTACTTTACTCATGTTTTAGAATTCAATTAAAATCGTGCCATTGTTGACGTCATGTTTGAAATTGAAGGGAAAAAGTTTTTGATTTTCATATGATTATTTTCATTTTCTTCAATGAGAATAAAATTTTATTGAAA